CTTGCGCATGCAAAGCTCTGATCGCTGACGTGCTCCAGACATCTGCGTCCTGAGCACGGCCACAGTAACATTATCAAATCAGGTGTCGCCGCCTCAAAAACTAATTTAACACGCGATCGTTCATGTCGGCTCATTTCCTTTTATGTTTACTGTCTTTTATTCTTTAATTTGTGCCTGATGCGTTTCGCTGCTGTGGAGCGGGGCGCATCACCTGTTTTGTCCTCGGTGACGTACCTAACTGATGCGGCCGGCGAGCACTCCGCTGTTTTTGCGGTCGGTAGATCTTTTAGAACTGCAGTTCAAAGGTAACTCATAAGGTGAATATATATGAACCCAGGTAGCAGTTTCTCTTTAGGATTGAGAGGAGATGCAGGAAGATAATAAACAGGCAGGACAGAAAAATAGTCAAATAAAAACAAGTTAGTTTTTGTATCTGGTGGTTGCAACAAACAGACACCATTGAAGGTAATCAGAAGTGAGGAACAGAAAATGAAATAATTATTTTAATGTTTAGAGCAGCAGGAACTCTGAGAGGCTGCAGGCGCATCAGTGAGTTTGCGGCCGCTGCGCAGGGGGAGAGGGGAGAGGGCTGAAGCAGAAACTACCGTTGTTAAAAGAAATGTGTTTAACTTTGAAAATGTGGGCGCAATTTTAATTGTCAAAAACTCCAGCGAACCATTAGTTCATTTTGCTCAAATAGAAACAGAGGCCTGCCTCTAATTCTGGTCCTCCTTCCAATAAAGGCCTGGAGCTTGATGAGCTTGAGTCAAATACAGGCCCGGGTCTGTATTAGAGGATTTACGGTATTTATAAAAAAAGTATTTATGGTTATATAACAGGCTGCGCAGTGGCGCAGTGGTTAGAGCTGTTGCCTTGCAGCAAGAAGGTCCTGGGTTCGATTCCTGGCTTGGGATCTTTCTGCATGGAGTTTGCATGTTCTCCCTGTGCATGTGTGGGTTCTCTCCGGGTACTCCGGTTTCCTTCCCACAGTCCAAAAACATGACTGTTAGGTTGATTGGTCTGTCTAAATTGTCCTTAGGTGTGTGTGTGTGTGTGTGTGTGTGTGTGTGTGTGTGTGTTGCCCTGTGATGGACTGGCTCTCTGTCCACGGTGTACCCCGCCTACTTGACCGCTGGAGAAAGGCACCAGCCCCCCCACCCCCCCACCCCCGACCCCCCGTGGACAAAGCTGGTTCAGAAGATGGATGGTTGGGTTATATAACAAAACTTTCCCAATTAAGGTATTGAATGACAAATCAATAACGATGGGTATATTGAAATCTTGTGAAAAGGAAAATGAACTTTATCGGGACTTTGTAAAATATCGGACAGTAAATGTGGAACAAAAATATAAAGCTTATAAAAATGAGTTGATAACTGTAATAAGACATGCAAAGAGTGATTAATACACAAATCTGTTTATGAAAAACAAAAGGAACTTCAAAGGAGCATGGAACATCTTAGAAGTTATGGGGTGTAAAACAGATTGTAGTCGACCGTTTATAAGTAATGATTGGACAGAATGTTGAGATACAAATGGAAAAAAATGGCTGATGAATGAATGTTGGTCCAACTCTTGCCAAATCTATACACAAAATGAGGACAATGGAAGTTGGATAGGTGAAAGCAGTATCAGTGAGAGCGAAATCATTTCTGCCGTTTCTGAATTAAAATTAAATAGTCGTGTGATAGTGATGGCTTAGATGTGTATATCGTTAAAGAAATCATTACATTTATTATTAGACCATTAAAATATATAATTAATTTATCCTTCAATACAGGTTTGGTTCCAGATAAAATGAAAGTGGCAAAAGTGATTCCTGTCTTTAAATCTGGGGAGAAGCATTGCCTCACAAATTATAGGCCTATAGCCTTGCTTTCTCAATTTTCTAAAATTTTGGAGAAGCGTTTTTTTTTTACTTGATTTTTTAGAAAAACCTTTATTACATGAAAACCAGCATGGGTTTGGAAGTACTCGCTCAACAGCTATGGCACTGATAACAATCACAGAGGACATTACAAGTGAATTGGAGAATTTTTATAGATCTTAAAAAGGATTTTGACACTATTAATCCTGATATTTCAAATCTAAATTACAGATGGAATTAGAGGAGTAGGTTTTAATTGGATTATTAGTTACTTGGAGAATAGACAATATGTAGAATATATGGGTTGTAAAATTACACTGGAGACAGTAAAATGTGGAGTTCCTCATGGCTCAGTGTTGGGGCCTAAACTTTTTATTTTATATATTAATGACCTCTGCGATCAATCTAAGATTTTACGTTTTGTTATTTTTGCAGACGATACAAATTTTGTTTCAGGGAAGGACTGTTGAAGAAATGGTTCTACTTCAGAAATGGTTTAATAAAACTATATTGTCATTAAATTTAAGTAAAACAAATTTTATGCTGTTTACTAACCAAAATATCTTGAAATCTGATTTTAAATGGAAAAAGCGTTGAGAGAGTGACAAAACTTAGGTTTTTGGGAGTAATCATTGATGATCATTTTAAATGGAACTCACATATAGCGCATGTCAGAAATAAAATGTGTAAAAACTTTATTGTTCTGAGTAAAGTACGGTCAATGTGTCATGAGTAAACTGGCGGACCCGTAAAAACACCCAACACAGAATGACAAGTTTAAGAATATGTATTAAAAGGGGAGAGGCAAAGGCTAGGTCAGGAGACATGAGGTCGTTACCAGGAGGCCTGAGGTGGGAACAGTCCGATAGGGAAATCCAAAAGGTGAAGTCGGGGATGGAGCAGGATCGGAGCCAGAAGATCAGAGATGCAGCAGAGCAGACAGGGTAATCCAAGAGGCGAGGTCGGAGAGGGAGCAGGGTTCAGGATCTTCGAAGACAAGGTGAGTAACAGGCTGGAGAATTTACTAGCAGGGTGTTCAATAATCTGGCGATGGTTGAAGAGCTGGCTGGGGTTTAAATAGTAGAGGAAACAGGTGTGGAGGATGAGTTGATGACAGGAACAGGTGGAATGAATGGAGCTGATGAGATGCGGGCTGAGGTTGCTGTGGCAACAGGTCACGGCAGGAACAGGATCATGACACAATGTTAAAATACAAAGCCATGACAATTTTGTACTGCTCTTTTATTTTGCCATATTTGATGTATGGGTTAGAGGTATGGGGAAATTCTTATATTACCAATTTAATGCCTTAGTCTATTTTACAAAAGAGGGCTACACGAATAATTAATGGAGTTGCTCCAAGAGAACATACCTTAGGACTGTTTCTGAGGTCAGGAAGCTCAAACTGGAGGACTTGGTTTCTTTACAAACTTTATTAGTTGTTTATAGAGCATAACACAATCTGTCACCACATGGACTTCAAAGCCTTTTCAACACAAATATTGAGACAAGCAGGAGGGGAAATGGTTTTAAACAACCCTTTGCTGGAACTACCCTCAAACACATGTGTGTCTGTTACTGGTGTGATAAAATGGAACTCATTAGAAAATAATGTAAAATGTTGTTCAAACACTTTTGATTTGAAGTATCAGTATAAGCAGAAGTTGTATAAAAATGAATGTGAAAACTGTTAACAAATATTCTCGCATGGAAAGGAAAAATTTACAGTTGATACCAGCATTGGTAATGCTGCTGAGGTTCGAAGAGTAATTGTGTTTTATTTGTGTTTTATTGTATTCGGGCATTGGTCCGGCTGCTCAGTTTGTAGCCATATGGAAGTAGGAAGGGGTGGGAGATCATCAGATTTTTCTTCGTTCTGTTGTCATGGGAAGTATTGTTGTCATGTTAAATAGTTTAGGCATTTTTTGTTGTTGTTTTCTCTTTTTTACATTGCCATGAAAATAGAATAAATGTTCTAATAAATAAATAAATATATATGTAAACAAATATTCTGGAAAAAATGTTCAAACCATAAATCTTTTATTTTATAACTATAAATGAGTACAACAGTTAATTAATAATATACATTTGCTTGCAAGACTTTATGCTAGCTAGCTAAAACTTTCTCATTAAAGTAAAAATACCAATAACAATCATTTTTCTGTTTTTATTTTTTCATTATTTATCATATCAATAATATTTTTATATAAATATTTTATCATTATCAACATTTTTTCTGAATAACACAAGCTTTAACATTTGGTTTTCCTTTGGGATCAATAAAGTTTTTTTTTAGATGAATTGTCATCAATGATGAATCGGTTGGTGAGGATTTCCACCCCCACCCTGTCCTGCGAGCGTTACTTATTCCCGGACTCTGGCGATCCAACGCCATAGACGCAAGCCAGTTAGCGGTAATCCCCTGAAATGCGTTTCCATCAGCTGACACAAATAAAATAAGACCATGTAAACATCTCATCCCTGCATTGACTAAACCTAAACTGGACATGAAACCAAATCAGATCAAAACCAAACGCAGAGTCCTCGTCTGCTAAAGAGACTGACGGCTGAACATCCAAGCACACGATGCAGACAGCAGCTCCTATTTCTGATCTAAGAGGCCGGGTTTGAGACAATGCTAAGACCAGTTTGACCTACTTCTGTCACCTCCAGCAAGTCAACGCTCAGGACCTCAGAACAAAACCCAGAGGAACAAAAACAGCATGCAGAATATTCCCGATTAAAGCCATAATATAGAGGAATTCTGACAGACAATGAACAAACGGAGCTTTAATCCCAAACGGAGACGTGGAACAGTGTCTGCGTGTTGACGGACGGGATCACTTCCGTCTGAATTGTTTAACCAAAAATATGAAAACATCTCATTTATTTCAGTAAAACGAACCTCAAATGAACTAAAGAGGATTAACGTTCAGTTTAGAAATATGCTAAATGTGCTGAAATAGGAATTTTCTAGTTTTGTGAAGTTTGAGCTAGCAGCTCGGATGATTTCAGAGTTAAAACAAATCTTCCCGTTAGAGTTCCTCTCTGGACCTGAAACAACGCTGTGGACTTCAAGACTTCCACCAATAAAACAACAAGACGATGGGAGAAAACCAGAGACCAGTCTGACCTTGTGTGTGGAAGTCCTGCTCCTCTCCTTTGGATGTGGCACCTCTGAATCTCCTGTCATCGATTGCTCCTTTGTTTTCCGGTGGAGCGGGTGGACAGATGGCTCTCCGTGCCCTCGGACCGGCTGGAGAGAGGGCAGACTCTGCTATTAGTGCCTCAGCTTAGCCTAAGATAAGCTGCTATACGCAGGGCGAGTGAGCCTGCATCCCTCGCCTAATTCTCCCCGTCACAGCCACCAAGCAGGCACTCTTCCTGCAGGAAGCTCCTAGAGCTGAGGAGGCCCGAGGCTGGATGCTGCAGCAGACCGAGCAGGCTATATTTACAGCACCAAAACAGAAACTCGCAGACAGATTCAGCTTTTTGCCCTGATCAACAGAGAGAGACGGTGAAGAGAGGCTTTGTTAAACAGAGTCTGAGTCCTTCATTACATTATCCAGCTTCCTGTCTGCACAAAGTCTGCTTTTCTTTTATATCCAGTTTGAAAAAATTCTTTGTTTTGCACTGAGAACCTGACTAATTGAGAGCTGGGAAGGACAATGTGGCCTTTGAGGTATTTAGCGTTAAGCACAATGTCTTCACGGGGTGCGTCTCCCCCTCGCAGCCTCTGCCCTCCCCCACAACAAGCCATTGTGGCCTTGAAACGAGGCCAAACTGGATACAATAAAGCCGTTCTGCACGGAAAAATGTACTCGAGCTCCACGGCTATGAAGGAAATTCATCACCAACACTTAAGTGGCGTTTTTAATTGTCACATGGTGCAAAAGGCCTCAATAGTTGTCTTTACTCAATGTAAACAGAATGTGTATCTAAAGACTTCATTCTTATGAATGAACGAACCAGATGAACCGAATCATTTCGTATTATTTTTAACATCTCTAAGCGATTTTCTTAAAGATTAGACGAGACGATGCAAGATGGAGGTCGGTGCCAGCTCAGAGGAGACTGGGTCATAATGTTACGGCCGTTTTATATAAATAATGTTCACCAGACAAAGTTAAATAGAAGATTCACAAAGGGGCTTATCATATATCAGCAATGACACAAACACACACTCAATGGCCACTTTAATAGGTGTTTAATTAGCAAATTAACCTAAACATGTAATTATCCAATCAGATGGCAGAAACTCTACAAAGTCAGACTTCCAGACAGCCAGCTGAAGCTCGAACTGAGCATCAGAATGGAAACGAGAATTTAAGAGACTTCAGATGGTTGCTTGTACCAAACAGGCTGGTCTGACTTTTTCAGATCCTGCTGATCTACTGGGATGTTTCCACACAACCATGTCTAGAGTTTATTGAGAATGGTCAGACCGGTTCCTGCCAAGGTCATCAGAACCCCACCAGCTGCTCCAGATGGGCTCCTGCAGCGGAAGACCACACCGGGTGTCTCTCCTGTCAGCCAAGAACAGCAAACCGAGGCTACCGTTCACACGGCATCACCCGTACTGGACCAGAAGAGACTGGAAACCCTTTCCTGGTCTGGTGAGTCTAGATGATGGCTTATGTAGAGGAAAACACTGCTCATAAGGTCAAAGAGATCCTTTAAACTTACACTGTGACATTTTTCTTTTTTATCCACCGAGTTTGTCTCTGAACCCATTTCTTCCATCTATAATTTGAGTCCATCTTCCAAAGTACATGAATATCAGCGCTGGTTTTCTGTCTTTCAAAAGGTGGAGACCCCCTCAGATTTACATAATTGCTGCTCGACTGTCACTGATCAACTGAAACCATTTTTCTTGGCTCATAATATACTCTGTGAGTTTCAGCAGGTCTCAGATCAGGACATGTTATGGTCCATGAATTAAATATGACCAATTGGACCCTTCACGGAGTTCTACAGTAACAAATCCATACCTCCATTTTCTTTGCCTGCATTTTTCTGCCCTGGTTCATGACAAGCTGAGATGGGCAGGTCATCAATCCATCACAAGGCCAGGTCAGAAATAAGATGATTAAATCAGACAATAAATAAAAGTGTGCAGCTTAATTTGTTGATTTGTTTAAAGCGTGTGATGCTCCAGATCATAAACTGTTACTGCAGGAGAGGTGTTCCTCAAGGATGTATTCTAGTTACCATTTTATTTTCTAGTTTCATTAACAGAACAGGGTCTGAGTAAAAAATGGCCTGTATTTGATATAGTGCCTTTAAGAGTACTGGAACACACACCCCCACCCCCAAGGCACTTTACAACACAATCAGTCATTCACCCATTCACACACTACATTGTAGCCACTGCTCCCCTGCGATTCTGCTGTACACAGGCGCCACCGGTCCCTCAGAACACCACCAGCAGGCAAGGTGGGTTAAGTGTCTCGCCCAAGGACACAACGACAGCGACAGGCTGAGCGGGGCTCCAACCTGCAATCTTCCAATTACGAGGCAAGCACTTAACTCCTGTGTTACCATAGACCCAGTGGCTCCTAGCTATAGCTGAAACATGGACCGGAAATTGGGCAGATGACTCGAGTCAAAGATTCTGATTTCTGGGTGTGTCCCAAGTCAGGGCGGCATCCTTCCAAGGCCGCATTTTAAGGCTGATTATGTCTTAACACAATAAGGCTGTCCAAATTCGAAAGATGCTCATAATGTGTCCTTGATTTCCTCTAGGACAGGTCTTCTGTGTGTTTATTGGCAAAGGCTACTCTGAACAGAGGATTGTTGAATTTATTTTTTACCAGAATTTATAATAAAATTGAAGTTTAAAAAAATCCTACAAGAAAATACCACAAAACAGATGTGCTAATGCGAGATGTTCGACACCAGTGTTGTTGTGTGTGCAGGTCCCAACTGCTGTTGCCTTTAAATTACTTAAACATTTAAGCACAACTTCCAACTTCCTTTTGTTTTGGTTTTTTATTGCTTTTGTATTATTATTACGTCTGTTGTAGGTTCTGTTGTCGTGTGTTTGTATATTCTGTACTGTGTACTTGTGTTACAGCTTTTGTATTTTGCATGGCTCCTGAAACTTTCTGGGCCCTCATAATAAACAGCTCTGTAGGGAAAATACCTAATCTGAGCAACAGAGACGTCACAGAGACAAGCCTCAAAAGGTCTGAAGGAAGACATTTAAACGCTTTTCCTGCGAAATAATGAATTTTAGATCTTTGTTTTAAAGACCGGTCTGATTATTGTATGATGAATTGGCTTGCCATAAAGCCGGGCGGAACTCATTGAGAAACTCGTCCCACTTCATCATGTGACCCCGAGCCTGTGTGGGACCGTTAGGTCAGTGGACTTGGAACCCGACATGTGAGCAGCGGAGGTCGCACTCTTTAGTGAGTCCGTCCCGCTGGTGGACTCAGCGGACACAAACAACCATGAACTTCCACAATGTCAGCTCCTTCGAAACTTTCCAGCAGCTCTGGAGTCAGTACGGGTACGAGGGAAACTTTGGTGAAATGATCCAGCAGGAGTTCCCACGGATTAAAGGTAAGGGTCGTTCAGAAGGACTAGATTATTACAGATTGCAGTTGATTCCTAAACTTTTCTCCATGTTTTAACCCCCCCTCCAAACAGGAATAACATACCTGGATCATGCTGCAGCCACTCTCTATCCCGAGTCTCTGCTCAGGAATTTTTTCCGGGACATTTCAACAAACGTGTATGGTGAGAAAAAGACTCAAAAAGGAAATTTTTCAGGGGCGGAGCTAGAAGAATTTACTGATTAACAGGAATATTCGGTACTGTAATAATAGACCTAATAATTACATAGTAAATATTACTACAATAATAGTTCAAATAACTGGAACGTGTCAGTCAAAAATACAACTTCATGGGTAAAATGTATAATATTGAGATTATAATGCTAGAATTAACTTTTTATTTAAACATCTAAATAGTTTAAATTAAAATTTTAAAACAAATATTACAGCAGTTTCAAATACAATCATAAATGATGAAACAAAACAAGTTTTAAATATTTTAGCCCTTTAAAGCTCGAAATGTGAAATAAATAATAATGCAAATAAACTGGAATTGGCCACACTCACCCACCCCTTAATTAGCTGCTATGGGGCGAGGAGGTCAAATAACCAGGAGGGGCTCAGAGTAGAGCCACCGCTCTTCCAGCATTGGCAGTTTAGGGAGGTTTTATGCTAATTTTTCTTATCATTAAGTCATATTAAGGGACTTTTTTGAATGGCTCGTAGAAGCATTTGATTTCTAATACCAAACGCTGACAGAAAACAGGACAGTTCCTGTGTGGACTATTTATAGAGGCTATAGAGACCTAGTCTGGTAAGCTAGCATATAAATTTGAATACGTAGTCTGGCCACGACCCATAGACAGAGCTCAGTCGTGGGGTGGAATATATGGTTGTCTTTCAACTGTCTCTGCGTGCTATTGGTCAGCAAACAATGCAACGTACTCATGAGGCAGTCAGTCAACGAGGCAGTCCACCAAACACTGTTGAATACACAAATACATCCTTTTCTGAATAAAGGACTTAAGTACTTTTATCTGCTCCTGACTTAAAGAAACGCCCAAGTCTAAATAGTCCAGAGTTGATGCCAAAGCCGTTTCCAGTGAACCGCCGCCATCTTTGTTGTTACACTCCGTTGCATCGGCCCGCCCACCAGACCGATAGAGTGCTGTGATTGGCATAACACAAGATAGCGCAAGCTAACGGCAGACCTGCTGAGTCTCCTGTGCAGCGTGGCTAGACCCACATGCAGACAGACAGGAGTCGAAACAAAATCATTTTGCTTCGGCTCCTGTCTGTCTCAATTTCTAGGCCATAGACCCACATGTCAGCCTGAAATGATGAATTAGTGAGTTTTACATAATATGTCCCTTTTAAAATGTCGTCATCAGCGTGAGTCTGACGCTGAAATACCCTGACAGCACCATTACTGCCGGTGTGAGCGCCACACTCAACAAATCAGAATACAGCGGGAGAACATTCTCAACTATAGTATTCATTTCTGCTGACTCAAAGTTGAACAGGTCAAAATAAAGCAGAACAAACCCAGAAAGCACGGACTGCTCTTTGGGTTTGTTTTAGGCCACAAAGTAACCGTGAGCATGTGCGAAGCGGGTCGTTTCCGAGTCCAGACGCAGAATCAATCATTTCAAAGTATCTGGAGCCGTGTGGACCGGGCCCTAGGTGCATGGACGTAATTTTCACTTCGGAAGTGGGGGGGGACACGGGGTGGGGGGTATCTTTACAGTATGCTCTAATAGGAAACAGGCTTCAACACTAACGGTTGTTTTCTGCTTGGTCCTAGAGCTCAACCAGTGTCAATTTAATATAGCATAATATTGTTTTTGGATGGTAAAAAGTGCAGGGGTCAAAACATGACTTTGGAAAAAGTGGGGGGGACATGTCCCCCCTGTCCCCCCCCCAAAATTACGTCCATGCCTAGGTGGAAGCTGCTCGCTGTCCCGATTGTAAACCTTTTGTTTCTCTCCAGGAAACCCCCACAGCCACAGCCCCAGCAGCAGACTGACACATGACACGGTGGAGCAGGTCCGGAGCAGGTAGCGGCTGCCCGCGCTCCACGATGAGTCCATCACTTTGCTGCTTAAAGGAGTAAAAACTGAACATTTTCTTACAGGGTATTGCAGCATTTTAACACCACATCTAAAGACTACTCTGTAATTTTCACTTCTGGTTGCACGGCCGCTCTCAAGTTAGTGGCAGAGACTTTCCGTTGGCGTCCGCAGACCGAGGGCGAAGCCGGGAGTCACTTGTGCTACCTGACTGACAGCCACACCTCTGTAGTTGGTATGAGAGGCCTGACTACCACCCTGGGGGTAGCTGCCCTTCCTGTCTCCTCTCAGGAGCTGAAAACTAGGGCAAAGGACGGAATTCAAGAGGAGGATGTCATTTGCCAGACACCTCACCTTTTTTGCTACCCAGCGCAGAGCAACTTCTCAGGGAGGAAGTATCCCCTTAGCCATGTTGAAGGCATCCGAGCGCGACGCCTCTACCCAGCATGTGACCTGCAGGGCCGCTGGTTTGTGCTGCTTGATGCAGCTTCGTACGTCACTTGTTCCTCTCTAAACCTACAGGACTGCCCCGCTGATTTCATTCCCATCTCCTTCTACAAGATATTTGGCTTCCCTACAGGTCTGGGGGCGCTTCTCGTCCGTAATGATGCAGCAGGCATACTAAGAAAGACCTATTTCGGAGGAGGCACAGCAGCAGCTTACCTATCCGGAGAAAATCATTATGTGCCTGCAGAAAACATTTCTGATAGGTGAAGCCTTGTGGCACCATCACACAGCACACACACGCTCTGCAGCTGCTTTCTGAAACCCTGTTTTTTTTTTTAACATGACAAAGATTTGAAGATGGAACCGTCTCTTTCTTGGACATCATAGCTTTAAATCATGGGTTTGAATCTCTTTACAGGATCACAGGTACGGTGGCGTTTTAAATCAAATCCCTCGTTTAATCACAACAGCCACTAAACCACTTTAGGGTAATACCAAAAGCATTCCTGTCTTTATCCTCCTTTGCCCGTAGGGAACATGCACAACATCCAGCAACACACGTTCGGCTTGGCACGCTACACTTACACTCTGCTCTCAAGTCTTTGCCATGGCAACGGGAGACCGGTGGCTCAGATCTACGCCGAAGGCCAGTTCGAGAGTCCAATCACTCAAGGAGCAATTCTGAACTTCAACCTCTTGGATTCCAGTGGGCAGATAGTTGGTTATTCACAGGTGCGTGTAGTAATCAACATCAAATCAAATCAAATCAACTTTATTTATATAGCACTTTTCATACAAAAAATGCAACTCAAAGTGCTTTACAGATTAAAATGGCCCCATAGATCCCACATTCCCATCCCAGCCCCCCTCCCCAAGTATAAAACAATTAAAAATTACAGTTCCCCTCCCGCACCCAACTTCCAAAGTGGACATACAATCACCCGCACACACACACACACACACACACGCACACACACACACACACACTCGTGAACACCAGAGGAAACAATAGGCTGAGTTCAGATGGGTCAGGTAATGAACGACACATCATCAGCGGAGCCATCTGCCTTGGCAGCAACAGATCCACGGCAGCAGCCAAGACACCGGCCCATGACGCCCAGAGGCGTAGGGCAGAAACCCCCACCAGTGCCCGGGCACTACCTGGGGAGCGCCCCGGCCGCCGCCGCCCCTGACCACCGGCCCCAAGGCAGAGGGCTCCGCAGAGGAAACACTGGAGGATTTAAGATATATAACATATAAAATAATAAAAGCTAATAATGATAAAAAGTAACTGATAAAAAGTGATTATAAAGATAGTAAAAGAAAACATAATCATATAAAAACACTAAGATGTATATAAAATGATAAAAATAATAAGAGAGATAAATATGTATTTATAGATAAATAGTAATCAGTTAAAAGCTAAGCTAAAAAGGTGGGTCTTGAGCCTATTCTTAAAAGCCTGGATGTTCCCTTCGGACCTGAGGTCCTCCGGCAGCCCGTTCCAAAGGCGAGGGCCGTAGTATTTGAAGGACGCCTCGCCGTGGGTGTGAGTCTTAACTTTAGGGATAACTAGGAGACGGCTGCCAGAGGAGCGCAGAGACCGCGAGGGTTTATACAGTAAAAGCAGTTCTGAAAGATAAGAAGGCCCAAGACCATTAAGACACTTAAAAACCATTAAAAGAACCTTAAAATCAATCCTGAAACATACGGGGAGCCAGTGCAGTGATTTTAAAACCGGAGTGATGTGCTCCCGCTTCCTGGTCTTCATCAGGACACGTGCTGCTGAGTTTTGTAAGAGTTGTAAACCTGAGATGCTCTTTTTGGGAAGACCAGAAAGCAGGGCATTGCAGTAATCAATTCTACTGGTGATAAAAGCATGCACTAGCGTCTCCGTATTGGCCCGAGAGAGAATGGGGCGGACTCTGGCGATATTCTTAAGATGGTAAAAACCTATTTTTGTGATGTTTTTAATATGGGGGATAAAAGTCAGCTCAGAGTCGAAAATAACACCCAGATTCTTCACTTGTAGTGATGGATAAAAAGACATTGATTGTAGTTTAGGTAAAAGTTTCTCTCTCTGGGCCTCAGTACCGATGACTAAAACTTCAGTTTTGCCTTGGTTGAGCTGGAGAAAGTTTTCAGTCATCCATGATTTAATATCTAAAATGCAATTAAAAAGTGTTTCCATTGGCTGAGAGTCATCAGGAGACACGGAGATGTACAACTGTGTATCATCAGCGTAACTGTGGAAATTCACCCCATGTCTCCTGATGACGCTGCCCAGAGGGAGCATATAGAGGTTAAAAAGTACTGGGCCTAGAATTGATCCCTGAGGCACCCCGCATGTGATGCTGTGGACCCCAGAGGAACAGGTATCCAGACTCACCATAAAAGTCCTGTCTGTGAGGTAGGAAGTAAACCAACTGTGAACAGCACCAGAGAGGCCGATCTGTTTTAAACGGGTTAAAAGAATAGTGTGGTCTACTGTATCAAAGGCAGCACTTAGATCCAGCAGAACCAACACTGTTGCCCTCCGAGCATCATAATTTGTTCTAAAATCATTTAAAATCTTCAGAAGGGCTGTCTCAGTGCTGTGGTTCACCCTAAAACCAGACTGAAATTTCTCTAGGACATGTTGGTGGTTGATAAAATCATTAAGTTGTATTAAAACAAGCTTCTCTAAAATTTTGCTTAAAAATGGTAAGTTGGATACCGGTCGGAAATTGTTAAAGTCATTAAAATCTAAATTGCTCTTCTTCAGCAGGGGTCTGACCACCGCCCGTTTAAAAGCAGCAGGAAAGACCCCCGTCTGAAGGGAACAGTTCATCAAAGTTAAAATCTCATCTCTAAATGAGTCATAAAATTGTTTAAAAAACCTTGTGGGGATAGGGTCCAGAACACATGTGGTAGGCCTCACTGAGGAGAAAACTTTATCAATAGTCTCAACTTCAACCAAGACAAAACTGTCCAGTGTTTCCTCAGGTAGACACACACTCTCAGATTGATCGGGAGCAGCATGACATTGGGTGGAAAAAATGTTACGTCTGATGGTGTCTACCTTCCCTCTGAAGTGGGCTGCAAACTCCTCACAGAGAGAGTCCGAGGGGGTTTTCTGGAGAGAACTAAATTCACGACCCAAAATATTTGTGACTGTAGAAAACAGAATTTTGGGATTATTTTTGTGTTCCGAGATGATTTTAGAAAAGTAATTATTTCTGGAATTTCTAACAGCTTTGTTGTATGATTTTAATAATTCCTTGTATATTTGTTTATTAATTGTGTTCTCATATTTCCTCCATTTTCTCTCCGCCGCCCTGCAAGATCTTTTCAACATTTTCAAGTTTTCATTGCTCCAAGGGGAAGCCGGTTTTGGCTGTAGCTTTTTAATTTTAGGTGGAGCGAGCAGATCCAGAGTAGATTTAAGTCTGCTGTTAAAATCATTGAAGATAAAATCACAGGGGGCATTTAAATTAATAGGAGGGATCTTTTTAAAAGTTTCCAGAAAACCAGCAGCCACTTCAGGGGTTAGATGGCGTTTCATTACAGTTCTCACAGAGGTCTCCTGCTGAATTATGCTGGTAATGCTAAAAAACACACAGAAATGATCTGAGATCGCTAAATCCACGACAGAGGACACACCGGTGGACAGACCATATGTGATGACCAAGTCCAGGGTGTGTCCTCTGTCGTGGGTTGGTTGTGCAACATGTTGTGTAAAATCCATATAACTCAAAATGTTTAAAAATTCAGTGGTAAAAGGGTCTGCAGGGTCATCTATGTGTAAATTAAAATCACCAGCTAAAATAATACTATCAAAAGAGTTGTGCAGAATTGATAAAAACTCGGAAAATTCCTGTATAAAAAGTGCACTGTGCCTCGGAGGCCTATAAAGAGTAACACACAAAATCTGAAGATCGCTGAAAATGGCTGCACAATATTCGAATGTGGTGTAGTTATCAAATAAAACATGTTTTGCGGAAAGTGTAGATGAGCTTATAAAAGCAGTTCCGCCTCCCTTTTTTCCGTTTCTTATTGAATAAGTAAAATTAAAGTTTGGTGGGGAGGCCTCTGTGAGAACAGCAGGAGCATCTGAACTCAGCCATGTTTCTGTCAAAAATACACATTTAAGATGATTATCTAAAATGAGGTCATTTATAATAAAAGTTTTGTTCAGCAGAGAGCGAACATTTAAAAGAGCCATATTGATAGTAACTAAAGGTGGAGTGACTGTGTGATTGACTGGGGGTGAGATTATTGACAACTGTTTAAGATTATTAAGATTAGCCCGGTTAGTTTTATGTTTATGTGATCGCTCTCTGCTGATTACAGGAATGTGAGAGGTGTGCAAGGGTCCAAGTCCGATATGTGGGTTACTGTTAAAATCATAACTGGGTTCATAGGATCCTGGACCAGTGGGACATCATGATGTGGGGGGAGGAGGTTGGGGCGTGGGGGCAGCTGGGGGTGGTGTGGTGGGTAAAGGTGGTCGTGGGCAGGCCAGGCTCATTTTAAGTGTGTGGGTACCCTGTCTATTTAGATGGAGTCCGTCAGGCCCAAACAGATGCTTCCTGCCCCAAAAAATGTTAAAATTGTCAATAAAAGCAATGTTGTGCTGCACAGTGACAGAAGAAAGCCAGGTGTTCAAAGATAAAATTCGGCTAAAGCGTCCAATTCCTCTGTCAACCGTGGGGATGGGGCCAGAGATAAAAACACACAGATGTGTGCTTTTTAACAAGTTAAAAAGATGAATAAAATCACGCTTGAGGAGTTCAGACTGCTGCATGCGGGTGTCGTTGGTGCCAGCGTGGATTATTATTTTACTCACTGTTGGGTGATTGTGGATGAGCTCTGGGATCCGTTTGGCAATGTCCATGACTTTCGCTCCGGGAAAACTGTGAGTGACGGCTCCACTCATCCTGACGTGTTTGATAATAGAATCTCCGATGATGAGGGTCCTTGGTGGTGGGTCGGCTGGAGCAGAGGATCCGTCCGGGACCTGCTGGATGTTGTTCAGCGGTTCCCCGGGACTGCAGCGGTTCTCCTGGGCCGAGGAAGTTCATAACAGTGCGATTGGTGCATGTTTATGCAGAGGAGGTTCTGATGGCGATCTTTTGCTGCTCACACAGGTAGACAGAATGGCTAGTTTGTTCAATATTCACCTGCGGACGGGTTGCTTCTGCAACACCGGGGCCTGTCAGGCCTTCCTGGGAATCACTGACCAGCAGATGAAGAGAAACCTGCAGGTGAGAGAGACACATTTAAAGTAAAACAGCCATTTTGGTCATTTTCAAGTAGGTTTTAGTGTGAAAGTTATAAATAATTACTATCTGATCTGTTTGGGATTTACCTTTGATCGGACGATAAGCTAAAGGCTAGTTGGTGCATCCCAAGGGGAAACATCTCAACCTTCTAACCAGCAGGTCAGCTGCTGCTTAAGCACATTTTAGAGCCTGTATCCTAATTCACTTGTGCACTAAAGCAAATAACCTAAAATGATGTAAATGAGTGTTAATGTTTGAGAGAAAAGCTTAATTACATTATTATTAAAGGTGCAATATTAGAATTTCAACGTCTCAGTCATGCTGGAAGGAAGGTTACGTTGAAACAGATTTCATTCTCAGCCGCCTGGGGTGTGTTCTGTTGTTCTTCTTTCAAAAGGGTCAAAAAGGGACGTGGTCTTTGTTTACAATCTGAGAGTCTGCGCCAAGCTAACGCTGCACCTGCGGCATTCGTAACTCGACACCAGCAGTAAAAAAGCCCCAGAGTTCTTTAAAAAATTGAAGCCGGTAAACAGGAGCGACCCAGAAGTTACTTCTTGTACCCCTAAGAAGCCACGGCATCGTTTTCTTTTACTCCAATGTCAGGTGAAGCAGGCTAGATGCTAACGTTGAGCTAACAATGCTAACAGTGAATTAGAAGAGAAATTTGTCGGCTCTAAAAGTATCTCAAGCTACTTTTTCAATTACAAACATTTTACAGTGAAATGCATGTGTGAAGTGAATAATGAGTCAATCGTAGCGTTTTGCTCCCTTAAATGAGTCGTTCAGATTTAACAGCAAGCTAATACCGACTCAGTGGCCTAGTGGTAGAGTGTCCGCCCTGAGATCGGGAGATCAGGGGTTCGACTCCTGGTCGGGTCATACCAAAGACTTTGAAAATTTAGACTTTGGATTGGGGGGGTTAAACCACCAAATAGTTCCTGAGCGTGGCTTGTCTGCAGCTCACCGCTCCCCCAGGGGATGGGTCAAATGCGGAGAATAAATTTCACCACACACCTGTGTGTGTGTGTGACGAATAAATGGGACTTTAATCTTTTAATCTTTTTAATTGCAAGATGGTAAACAACATTTTCTCTACTGCCAGAGGCATACTACTGTAATAAGTGTAGTAAGTGCTCCCTGCTGTAAAACACATGAGGGGGCTATCACCAGATATGACCGTGTCTGACTTGTGTTCACTTGTCATCAAGAATCTTCTGGCGCTGAGCCATAACTCACAAAATACTCATGCAAGGGGAGTGAGAGAGCCACCTGTTGTTTGTAAAAATGGACTGCAGTACCCAAATCTGACCACAGAATGTCATTCTTACTTCATTCTTACATATTGCACCTTTAATAATGATATAGCTCTTTTGCATATGTTTTACTATATTGTAATTCTTCATGCTTCTGGTGATATTTACGCTTCATCATAACCACAAAACCCTGAAGTTAACATGAACTACCTTAACGCGAACTGCTTTGACACGTTTCAAGATGGCAGCACATCTCTTTGGCATTGGGTCTGTCTGTAGTGACCACACCGGTCCCAAAAGTCTCAAATCTAAAACAGACCCATTTCCCTAAATGCCACTGGTTCATGCAAACACAATTTTACAAATGCTGTTGTTTTTTCTTTAGTTATTCTGGCAGAAATGTTAATAAATTCCTGCCAAGCGGACACCTGGGTGCACCTGTAGGGCTACGTTTGGCTAATGCTGGCGGTATTTGTGCAACAGTGGCAGTCTAAAGGTTTTTTAACATGAGTGTTTATGCATTAGGTCTTTGCTGCACTCCAACTAGCTGTTAACTCATCAATCCTGGTGAGAGAAAAGCTGCTGAGGCCATCCAGCACGTGTGATTATTTATAACCTTCACACAGAATCGGACTGTTTTACTCTTAAAGGCAGGACACGTCTGTGGAGACGGCGTGGACCTGGTGGACGGCCAGCCGACCGGATCTGTCCGAGTGTCCTTCGGCTACATGTCGACGTTTGAAGATTGTCAAAAGTTCTTGAGCTTTGTTGCCGAGTGCTTCGTGATGAAACCAGTCACCGTGAACCGAGCCAGACTGCAGGAGTTAAAAGCAGCCAGAGAGTCGTCGGACAGACCAGATGAACTCCCACCAGTGAACGGTTTTATTAAGGAGCGCCAAACCGGTGTCGAAAAGAGTTCCTCAAAAGCATCACAGCAAGAGTTTGGACACGTGGGACCAAGCCACGGAAAAACTCTGACCAACATCTACGTTTATCCCGTCAAATCTTGTGCTGCCTTTGAGGTTGGAACACCGGCTAACCTTTTCTGTCCGTCACTCTTTTTTTGCTCGTTTGCTTGTGTTCATTTGATTCTGCTGTTCGTCACGCAGGTCCACGACTGGCCGGTGGGACCGCTGGGCTTACTGTATGACAGAGGCTGGATGGTGGTAAATGGAAACGGCGTGTGCCTGAGTCAGAAGAGAGAGAGCCGTTTATGCCTCATTCGCCCACAAGTCCACCTTCCCTCAAACAAATTGTTCCTTCAGGCATCAGGTCAGCGAGTGTCTCTCTAAAATAAATGCTCTGCTTAGCCAGAGAAGTCTCAATCAGACACATTTTCTCATGAATTGGGAAAAGGATTTTTTCCCCCTCCTCTTTGTAGGGATGGATACCATTTCAGTTCCCCTGGAAGACGACGTTTCATTTCACACCAGCTCTCAAATGTGTCACAGCAAAGTTTGTGGTGACAGGTACGCCGGCTTGACTTCTGAAGGCACTAGGGGCGGAAAATACATCGTTTTGCTTCACATTTTTCTCTCTGTCAGTGCTTTCTCTCGTTTCGGTGGGCCAGCTTTTCAGTAGACGGCTTTGCGAGGCCGCCTCCTCTCAGCTTCTTATGAAAGGCCTCCTGCTTCCTTTTTACAGGAAAACAAACAATAAGCTGAACATAATAATCTTCCCCAACATATCCCACATGTATAAAATCAGCCCTACGTCCTCGGATTCTTGAGTTTGATGCTGCTCTCCTGAATAATCCAACCCCTTCCTTCTGTCAGGGTGGAGACGTTTGACTGTGGGGACGAGGCGGCGGCGTGGCTTTCACTCTTCCTGGGACAGCCGTGTCGTCTGATAAGACAACGTCCTGGTTTGACTCGAGAAATGAAGAAAAGAAGTGATGAAGGTGTTTGAAATGTGTCACTTTTCCAGATTATCATCTAAAAGAAAGAAATTATTTGCACTATTGATTCGGCTCCATACGTGGCTCCCAGGGGCCAAAAGAACAACAGACTCTACTTTGTTGTTGTTTATAAAACTCAAACAAAGACAAAATTCAAAAAGGACAACCTGAGTCCAGCCTTGATCCAGGAGCTCGTAGAGTCTCCTTTAGCACCGGGACGTACTTCACACGGAAGCTGATGGACGTCTCTGTATTCATCCAGGGTCCGATCATTCAGCACGTGGCGCTGATAGCTCCGCCCACTCACGCACAATCGGAGCGTTTTGTAAGCAGCAAATAACTTATTACAACTAAAGCATCGTACAGGATCCAGGTAATAAATATATGAATCAATGGAAGTCAAAATAAATCGAAGATGCTTTTTTTTTCTATCTGAAAAAATTTCCTTAAATATAGGGGCGGGGTTTAAAATGAGTACTGACACCAGCCACCAGAGGGCGTTTTGGTTTATTTCAGCCTAAACTGGTGGTAATTTCCTCCTCCTAGTTATTATACATCCAATGCTGGTGCTGTGCATTATGGGTAGACATCTTTACTTTGGTTTCACTACTTCCTGGTGTCTTCTGGTTTATTCAGAGGTCTTTTCTTAAAGGACCTTTAACCCCTCCTGGGTTGATGTCAATGTCAGTGTCAATATCAACTTTATTTATAAAGCACATTTCCAACAATCAGAGACGGCACAAAGTGCTGTACACAGACGAGCAGTAAAAATAAAATGATAAAACACTGAGAAACATCCAGTAGACCCTAGGTAAAATAAATTAACGATAAAATCACCTTAAAAGCAAGGGTAAAAAGGTAGGTTTTTAAAAGAGACTTAAAAGCAGAATAATCTGTAGGGGAAGGCTGTTCCAGAGCTTGGGAGCAGCCTCAGAAAAAGCCCTGTCGCCTCTGGACTTCAGCCCAGACTGGGGAACAGATGAGAGATGTAGAGAGGATGATCGGAGGTTTCGTTTGGGGACATGAGTGTTTAAGAGTTCCGACAGATAAGG